CATACAGAGCAGTTAGAAATGGGAAGTTACTAGCAAGAAGCAAGTTAGATAAGTGTCTGAAGAACTGGGAAAACTGATTATTTGGGATCCCACTAAATTCCTTTCCTTACCCATCAGTATAAGGATGGATAGGTTTCAACCTTGTGTATCCTTATTTCAGGATAGAGTCAGGGATTTTGGGAAATGAAAATAAAAATCAGTATTTGTGAATTCAATGTTGAAAAATCTGTACCAGTGGGTTTCCCCTCCACCTCCAAGTGGGTCACCTTGTCAACAGATGTTAATATTCTTGATTGCTTAGGCAGTTATATGGATAAAAAGCAGAATTTTCTTTGCTACTTCCCATTTATTCTTGTATTTTCCCATTCTCTAGACATTTCATGTTTTACAGTACCTGCTCTACTAAAATTCAAGGTAAGTAAATCTTGCTATGTACTGTAGTCTCCTGAGACGGGAATGTTTTGTTTATTGCTCATAATAATGTAAAATAAGACACTTGGACAACTGAGACTTTAGTCCATTGCTATAAAGAGTTTTTCCCCTGCAAGGGCCTTTTTGAAGGCTTGAGTGGGAGTTTTAGAATTCTTTCTAAAGAGAAGCACTATCATTCTTCATTTATTTAGACTATGTCAACACTGGACATTGCTGTATATAGTGTTAAGCAGAAAGGTACTGCAGATGCTACCAAGCCTGCCTAAGTTGTGTTTTCTCACTTTGTAGGTCATAAAATCAAATCTGACTGAGATGGACGTTGCCTTCTAATCTTTCCCCTTGATTTTTACTCAATACCTTGAGAACTGCTGCTACAAGAATGATCCACAGGCTACCACTGGCCTGCAGGATTAAAGATCTGCAGACTGGTATAAATAATCTACTCAACGAGCATTATGTTTACTGAAGTGTGATGTTGCTTGCATCTACTACTATGCAATACGTTTTGCCGAAATTGGGTTGGATTTATTAGACGTTCAGTCTGACTGTGGAGCTTTGGTCTGAGTTGGAAACCAAATAATTATCAATCAAATGTCTAATTATTATGCAAATAATGGGGCATATCTAGTTCCAGCATCTTTCAGTAGATCAAAGCCCAGGTATGGACTATCTGGTCTAGAAATAACTCTTGGTAGTATTAAATAATGGTGATAGTCTAGTCACAATCTTTTGTGAAGACTGAGGAAAAAAATGAACCCAATATTCCGGGGCTTTTTGTATTGTTTGCTTGTTTTCCTAGTCTAGCAAAGAATTGCTGCTTTCATTTGTCTGTCTTCTGGTATACTTATGTAATTTCTTGTCTTTCCTGCCTCACAGTAGCTGTATTTTACTTAGGATTGTTAGCTGCTTCTTTTTCTTTTTTTAATATATATCTTCCTGAACTATTTGCTTGTACTAATAGTGCCTTTCTTCCGCTTTAAACATCTAAAATATATCTTTAGTACTGAGTTAGTCATGCTGTTTCATCTTTTTTCTATATTGATAAGGATGCTACCTTGCCTTAGTTATCTTCTCTTAACTGCTGTTTTCTGCCCCTCACTAATCAGTTTCTTTTGGAAAGGGTTACTCTAGTTGCATAACTCTTTAGTTGGCTGTTGTGGAGATATGACAGTTCTCTTTCCACAGTTCACCCCAGAGCCACTCTAATTTCTGCAGCATCACAGGCCGAGGGATTCTATTAGGTTGCACACTGTTGCCATTGGGCTTGCTTATTCAGCCTTATTTAAACTGTCTCCAAAGGCCAAACAGGCTTTCTGTCATCTTGGTTCACATATTACTGGGTTGATGACTGGACCCCAGCAACTAAAGGTTTTGTATGGCCGAATACATATTATTGCATATTTAACTTAATGCTTCGATGCTTTTTTCCAAGGACTTGAGGTCAGTTCCCCATAATCTCTTAAGACTTTAAATCTACTGTCAGTGTATGCTTCTGACAAGAAATTGCATTTTTGTAGGCATGCTTAAGGTTTTCTTCAGGTTTCTATTTCTTCCACATTACCCAAAATATTAGTGATCCTCATCTTTGTCTCACTTGAATACTTTTGTGTTAAAGCCACATAAATATTACACTGCTATTGTGTATGTTCAGATCTCCGTTAAAGTGGTAAACTCTTTAGCCACAGTCCCTTGAGTCAGATCCATTCATAGCGTGTATCTTTAGCTTTGGAAGGAAGCTCTGAGCATGCATTTTCCCCTCTGTTTATCTAGCTAATAATAAGCTGCCAGGATACTTGAACAGCTTCATGGCTGGCATCCAGCCCTTCACCCAGGAAAGGATTTTGCCATAGCTTTCACTGGAGAGAACTCAGATTTAGAATAAATGTAACACTATACCTGAACATTCCTAGTTCAATCTGGATGGAAGCTGACTTTCCCCTTTCCCTGTGGCTAATTCACGACTGAAGAGGTTAAAACAGATCTTAGGGGGTTCTTGACCACATTGCTTTACAAATGCTTCTATCTCCTTAACTGTGGCAATACAAAACCCTTTTCCGTTCAGATGGTGAAAAGGAGGTGATTAATAGCCGCCAGCGTACTCGCCTCTCACAATGTATTGCAACTAAATGCTCAATTGCATGTAGATTCTTCATATGTTGCAACCTGTGAACTTTTGACAACTATACTGCATACAAGTATGTGAACGACCACTAGGTTTGAAATCAGACTAGTGGCAATAGTGTTAAAACAATAGTGGGCTAACAGTGGGATTGACTTAACATCTACCTCAGGCAGTGAAGTAATATTATGACAACGAAATACAGAATATTCAAAATAGTAAACATAATATGCTGGTTAAGTGGTGACGAGCTCTGAGCTCCATTTGAAAAAAAGAGGGAAATCTGCAACTCTTTTCAAAATGGAGTTCAGAACACTGATTTCTTACTGAGGCTCCTTCAGTGGATTCAGGTGAACTGGAGCTCCAGTCTTTTAGGTTCGCTCTCCATGTGGCAGTCAGTCATCTTAATGACATACTACAGCCACTTCAAACAAGACCGTGAATGTAGTAGTGAATGGGAGCACATCACCTAGTGAAAAGGGGTGAAAATAGAAAGCAATTTAGGTGACTTTAAGTAAGGCCTAATTTGCCTAACCTGAAATGCAGTCTGCCTTGCAATACAACCTTCCTAACCTTCCCCAAACATCTTTGTCTGGAAGAAACCTAATCTGTTGCCAGAGGAGGATTCTTCTCCTACTCTAACACCTCAGTCCTTCGTCTCAAGTTCCAGGCATGCTGCTGTTGTGTGCTGCACACCCAGCTCCCCGCTGGCTTCCCTGTGGCCCAAGAGTTATCACAGGTTAGTTGATTTGATCTTTCTAAAAGACAGTGAGTGATAGCCGGTTTTGCTCGATGCAGTTTGATAGTCTGGTCATGCCAACCACAACGTGTCTGACTCTTGTCTCGTCAATTCCTTTCTTGTTCTCCCACTTCCAAAAGAAATAAATATCTTCATAACAAGTTGCAATAAAGACGCAGGTGGGGAAAACTGGATACCAAATTAAAAACAAGAAAACAGGCTTTTTATCATCATTTACTTTCTAACAGTGTGTGATAAACTAAAAAGGATCCAAATAAGACAAATCGTGTTTCACTAGTACTTTTTCATAGTATCCTTTTCTTCTTAATCTTATGAGAATATTTACTGTGGGTTTTAATACATTGTTACGTGACAGCATGGGTATGAATGGATGAATAGGGCTAAAGACTATAGATAACACAGCGTGGGGATAAAATAATGCAGTCCAGTAAGAGAAATCTCGAACTTAGTGGTGAAAGAGTTGCTTTAGTGTTTCTTGGCCTCTGTACATCTTTGTGTAATCAAGAAAGTGGCCTTATTTAAAGCATGAGGGATGAAAACAGAGTAAGACTGGCCAGATCTTTCCTTTTATGCTGTTAGTAACTGAATTTGTGCATGATAAGGTACAGATAATAAATGGGCAACATACCAACAACTTAAAGAATTTGGGGGTGCTAAGAGTGTTCATAGCTTGAACTGGAATAGCAAGAGTTGCCATACCCATAGCTGTAATGGCGATATTTGAAAAAAAAACTTCATCAAAATAGTAGCATTTCCAAAAGATTGTTATGGTAAAGGTATACCCATTCAAAATGTGAAAACTTCGCCAGTTATCAACTAAAGTACCTAAAACCATAAAGGAGGAAGGGCAGAAGTTCACTTTAATTTCTACAAAAGCTTATCAGATTTCTGTTTCTGGTAAGAAGATTGCTGTGGACTAGAATATGGCCTCACCCCTCCCTAAAATGTATTTGAGATTCAATAAACTGAAAATAGAGCGGTAGCTGACTCTAACTTTAGTGCTACTGAAATGTGACAGGTATGCAATCCAGTATGTGGATGTTAATGTTTATAAAACTCCTGTTTAAGCAAAAAAATGTATCCTAGCAACTTTTTTTCAGATTTTGTAACATCATTGATATTTCTAATGTAGCTTTTCTGTAAAATATGATTTAAAGCAGCATTTCATTGTGGTAACATTTACCTCATTTCTGCTACTGCTTTCTGCCTTAGCATTTGAATGATTAGATTCTTGCGGTACAGTAACTTAGATCTAGATAAATATAAAAAAAAATTATTTCATGAAACTATGTGAGCCACTCTGAAAGTCTGTCTTTTTCTGTCGTTGCCTTCATTTTCCCAGTGTAATAGGGTTCCTGCTAAAGGACTGAAGAGTTAAAAGGAATTTAATTGCTGTGTAATAAGCCTTATCCTTCGGTGAGGTACTTCATTGAAGCTAGACAGTGAGTGTTTTGTGACAGAAGGAAAAGCTGAGGGGGATGGGAGACGGAGGAAGCTACAAAATGACCACGGCTGGCCTCTCTGCATTCCTCTAAGGCCTGCTTTTTTAAAATTGGAAGCTGCTTTTATAGATGCTCCTCCAAACAGGTTTGTTTTTTTCCATACTGTCCCATTTAGACTTTGGAATGCATGTATGAAAGGGCAGGCCCCCAAAGTGACTTTCCAATCTGTTTTTGCAATTCCAGCCAAGTTCCCTTTAATGTATGGAGCAGGCGAAGTTGAGCTGACTCTCTTATAATATCACAGAACTCGGGCGCAGCTGCTGCTCTAAGTGGCACTGTGTGATAATACAACAGCTCTGCTATTTACTGGGACTCAAGTGCCTGGACTGGCACACAGAGACATTATATGAAATCCGAAAGCATGAGGATAAAGGAGATTTCTTTGCGGCAAGATCCTGATCTAAGAAAGGAGTTGGCATTGCTAGCTCGAGGATGTGATTTTGTTTTACCTTCTAGATTCAAGAAGAGACTGAAAGCTTTTCAGCAGGTCCAGGTTTGTCCTTCAGTTCTTATACAATTAAGTTGTTATTGTCAGTTGTACCTTTACAAATTGCAGGAAATACATGCAAGTTCTTCCTCGGATAGCAGGATTTCTCTAGTCTGTCCCATATATGATGATTTTTCTGTGTTTTAGAAGACTGTGCAGGTAGTTTTCTGCAAAGAAAAAATGAGGAGAGTTTACTGAAGCATGTAGCATAGATAAAGTACGATGTAGCATAGATAAGAAGCATGTAGCATAGATAAAGTACGATGTTTGCACAGCTGCATATGCAGTGGAAAGTTGATGTGCTTAATGCTATTAGACTTTTAAAGACTGTTTTCCTTAATCTGCATAATCATAATCTGCATGTATTTTCCCAGGGATTTTAATTTACCTGTTACTGAAACTGGGCATATGAAATACACTGAAATAGGCTGTAACTTTACCAAGTCAAACATAGTATGTTAAAAGGTGCTTTCATACTTACGTGATAATCCTGAATTCCTTTAGATTTAGTTTATTTTGGACTTTGCATTTGGATGAGATCAGTTGTTGCTACATGGTTCACACATGTGCCTCTTCGCTGTTTTGCAGCAGTGAGTTAAATCCACCATTTTAAAGTGAGCTCATAATTGAAAATAGAAGCATTTGAAACATATAACTAGAAGGAAAACTACTTACAGAGTAAATGTTCAAAGAGATTATCTTCTGGGAGGGGGAAAAAGCGTACCACTGTTTTATTGGAGAAACTGAAAGTTGGTATTTCCTCAAACACACTTAAGGCTTTTGGTGGTGTGTCAAAGCATTCACTTTGTCCTTACCTCACCCTCACTTCTAATTCATGTACTAAAGGTATATCAGTGATGGTATGTGTGACTTTTTTTACCCTTTTTTAATTAAGGAAAGTTTAGCTGTTGAATAAAAATTACATTATCTTAGGATTTCTGGCTTTTAAAATCATTCTAAATACAGCCTGCTACTTAATTCTGAATTCAGTGCACTACTGTCCCTTTCAGGTGACCTTCAAGAGAGGACCATAGAGCCCTATGACCCTAAAAATGTGTTAGCCTTCTGTCTTCTACATTATTACTGTAAATCTGTTTCAGCTGAGCTATATAAGCAATGTTTATTCCTTTGTGCAAAGCAGAATGCAAGTGCTGACCCTGCTGTTTTTTATTCACAAATTTATGCTGAATGGCATAAGGATTTTACGACTTGAATCTTTACTGCTGAACTGGAGACATAGAAGGAAACTTGTTGACTAGAGACAACAGAAAAAGAAAATACTATCTTAATTACCTAAAAGTAGCAGTATCGGTTAATATTTAGGCACCTCAGAGCATGAGGCAAGTTTAGTCTAGTCATGGCATCCTGAAGTAAACAAACACACTGTTACCTTGTGTGGTGCCCCTTAACTTGATCTGTCTTTCATCGGATGATAGTTGGATCATCTGCCCTTTTACAGGGCTTTTTTACAGTTAGCTAGAAAACATCTCAATGTAGTATGGTAATGCATATCTACTAACAACTGAGTACTTTAGAAAACAGCTTATCTAATCTGGGTTTTTTCTGTTTTAGCATGCTGCCAGCTATAAACTTACAATGCAGACAATGAACAAATATTTTTCATTTTTAACCAGACTTGCACTTCATGGGTAAATGGCAAATGTAGAATAATGTATGTTAAACCACTTAATTATATTACAGAAAAAATTCTGTGGACAAAACAGACTCAATAGGAATATAAAACTAAAATCTTATGTCTGTGTTTGCTCAATTTGATGTAAAGTATTTTATCCAAGGTTCCTTTTTTAAATGGTACTTCACTTCAACCTCATGATTTTAAGGAGACCTATTTGAAAGTACCTTAAAAAAACAAAATATGAGTGCTGATAACTGTTGATATAGAAGAAGATGGGCATTCTTTACCTGACACTTCATGTTAATTTCAAGTTGTCTTCATGGGTTAGGTGCATTTCAAAGAGTAGCTATTCATCATCTACATAATCATTGAAGAGATTTCATGTTGCAATTAAAGACTGCTTAGAGCTTTTGTAGAATAACTTGAAAAATTTTTCTCATTTCAGTTGCTAAGCTTCATTGCCGTTGGGAGTTTACAACCTCCTATACCACTGTAATACTGGCTTTCAGACAGAACAGTTCATGAATATGATGTAAAATTAGAATGCTAAAATCAAGCAGAAATGGAAGCCAATCTGTCTTTCTATACTTTTACTACACTCTTACAATTTTTCATATCCACGTGGTTTCTATAACTTGTGAAACGAATGGCAGATTTTCCTTAAGAGGTTTAGTGCTGCTAAAGCTAGCTTCTTAAAATAAAAAATGAGTAATGGTGGTGGATGAGATAACGTGGTTCAACATCTGCTCTGAGGTGGGTTGGAGTGACAGGGCCTTGCACAGGTTCTAGGAATTCTAAGGCGGTGGCTTTTTGCATAGAGCCGTGTAAGTAATCTGTGTAGGTAATCCCCTGTGTTTTGGAAGGGGTGGTCATTGGAGCGTAGCAAATCAAGTTTCATGAAAATCTTTAAATAGACAACCAGTAGTGAGGTGGGTGGCTCTGGAAAGTGGTGGATCAGGCTGTTTCTCAGTGGTTGCATGTACTAACGAAAATTGATAAAACTGAGCCAAATAGGGCTTTCTGGAAAGATTGGTTTCTCAAAAGGAAGATAAACAATACACAGCTGTTGAAATGTTCCCTATTACTTTGGGGAACTGAATTTTTGAATAGATAACTGTAGAAAACTCAGTAGAACTTCAGTTTATCTTCTCCTGATGTTGCTTGTAAGAAAGACCTTTCTTAGGTAATTTAACACCTATGGAATATAGTGAACTGGAGATGCAGCACTTGAAGAGGCACCGTGTCCATCTTGCTCATCAATTTGTCTGAAACTTTGGGGGGAGAAGAAACTATCACCATGTCAAATGTACTGGCAACTTAAAGATGTGAACTGAAAGGCTTATTACCTGCTGATAGCTGAGCAGAGTGTTTTAGCCAACAGCTGGTGACATCCCTACCTGTCAGAGCTGGAATATAAGCAGCATCATTACCCAGGCTATGTGAGGAAAACATGTCTGAAGTTGGAAACAAAATGATGACAGAATAAAATGCATCATTGTACAGTGACACGCTTGTACCCATGTAACTCAGTGTTAGCTAAACTAGGAAAACAGGTATTTTTTGCTCCTTAGAGGCCACATCACCTTGTAGAACACTTGAGTTCTAGACTTCTTTAAAGACAAATAAATTTGTGCTGAATGTGATGATTTAAAAAAATAAAAAAATGGCCTAAATCTGAAATTAATCCTCTGAATGTCAGTGCCAGAGCTGAGTGCTAGCGTATTTTCTGATACTTTTAATGCATCATGCCTTTATCTGCTGTTACTATTTGGTGATTCCTGTAGTTGTATGCGTCGCACCTCAGTGTGGAAATGGAGAACCACTAGTTCATGACCACCTGTTAATGATACTAAACACTGGTTACACATGCTATTTATGTCAGCTGTATGAGAACTATTTCCTCAGCTTCTGCAGTGCCTCACAAGATTGGCTTTCCTTCTGAGTGAAGTAAGTTTAGACATTCGTGCCTCTTGATCACTTTTGCACTCCTCTGATACCTAAATGCTTCATATATGCTTGTGGCATGTTCAAGACAGCAATGAATACAGAGCCTGTAGGTGCTAATGTGTGCTGGGCTGGTGTGTGGTTGTGCTGCGGTGCTCTGATTCTTCCAGTCGTGAAGATAACATTCCCAGGTCTGAGGTAAAATGAATTTTAAAGTTTGTAGGCAGTTGGTTTTGCAACTATAGTCACAGAAGTAGGTTGTGTAATGATTAGAGGTCTCTGGCAGGCCAGCTTTCCTATTAGCATGAATTTTCTAATTTAACATCATCTGGAGACCTTTTAACACCATAGAGGGAGGACCCGATATCCATTTTTACATAATAGTTTTACATCAGGCACACAAATGCTTTTTTTAAAGAGCAAAACCCAAGTGTTTGTTGGCGGCGGGGGCGGATAGAAATCTCATTACAGCTGTAGCTTATAGTTACACTTGATGCTAGTTTGCTGATAGAATGCCAATTTTCTGGAGCAGATGCCAACATTCAAGATAGAATGAAAATATCTAAGCTGCCTGGCTAGTTAAGATGAGAGGTTTTCCATAAATGGTCCATTGCTAATAGTTTGCTGGGTTTTAAGCTCTAACCTCTTAAAGGAAGCTGTAAGCAAGCTGGTAGTTTTTTACCACTTCTGCAATGGAGACTCCTGGTTCGAGCTTGAAATGTATTGGCTGCCCTGTGGTAGCAGCTTCTTTACCTGCTCGTGGCTGGTAATAAATTTATGCAAATGTGTACTGTTTTCTGTAGAAAAGCCAGTATGGTGCAAGTTTATGTTACAGCTTACTTTACTTGCATGCATGATTTAAGAGTCTAGATGTCAGTTCCCTCTGCAGCTGTTTTTTGACCCAACAATTCAGACATTGAAGGGTTCTGATTTATTTATTTTTCCCTTGGAATATAAGTTTCACTAGCCTTTTCTCCCTTTTAACATACTTCCCATACCTTTGTAATCACTAATGCTACTAATAGTAGATGTTCTATGACTGTTGAAGATACTACTTTGTATGCTAGAAAGCCTGAAACAATTTGGCACATCTTCATATGAAATATCCTTCAAATTTTACAGGGTAAGAGGGATATGAGATTGTTTTCACAATTGTCCAAAACAGGATCTGTTTTTGTAGTTGTCCAAATTGGAATTTGTTGGGGCATCATCAGACAAGAAGTTGACAGAATACTTGCTCCAACTGTTGACTCTGCAGCTCAGTAACAAGGCTGAGCTTGTCGGTATTTTTCTTGTTTGAGTGGATTTTTCCTAAGCTCAATTGCATTGAGTGATTGAAACTTGGTTTGTTGTAAACACGGAAGGATGAGAAGCTATTGCAGAGTTTAAGAATTAAGTGGATGTCTGTCTTAGCCCTGTTTGTTAC